TAGGTGTTTTTTCACGACCTATGATCCTGTGAATATTTGCTCTGATGTAATAATATCGCAGGCAATTCCTACGTTAACGGGTTGGAAGGTACAAAATTCTCTTATCTGAACGAATCAGTTCGAGAGACTTAGCAGTATTGCGAAGGCTTCGGTTGAATGCATCTTACATTCCTTCCGAAGTGAATACTGGAGCTGTACATTGCAATCTAAGTATTTCAAAACTTGGGTGAAATAGTACATTACGTGCCCGAGCCTTGGAAAACAGATCACCGCCCCCCACGTGCAAGACTGCCTTCCGAGCCGAAGGCGGGGATGGCAAGCACGTGGGGGGGGGTGATATGTTTTCCATGGCGAGGTGTGTATATTAATTTTCGTGTTAATGGACCTCAATTTCGTGGCGCTGTGCGCCACAGGACATGAAAATGGGGTCAAAAACTTACTAATCACATCCCATCAATTCCCGTCAATTCCCGTCCCACGTGACGGGAACCACCACTACACCTCCATGTAGCATATCATCAAACTTACTAATCAAAACCCCCATGGGGTCAAAAACCCCATTTTCATGTCCTGTGACACGAAAAGGATTTTGCCAATCCAAAAATGGACCTTTTTGTCCCTCTTGTCAAATTACAAACGCAATCTCTAATGCGTGTAGCACGGCAACCTCCTAGTAGTGTTGATTGACTCCTACATAGCTAATTTGAGTCCTACATAGCTAATTTCGTTTTCTTTAATATAAAAATTTGCACCATGAAAATTTGTGTGCTATAAGAATATGAATCTGTTTCAATGTTTCAAGTTTTGCTTACTGTCTTCAACCTCTTTTTCATCCGTTCTTTGGTCTCAAATTATCTAACAACCAGTAAATTCGTTCATAAATTAGAACATTACGGAAGCTTCAATGAAGAGAAAAGGAGAAATAAAGAAAAAAATAAATAATTCTTGCGTAGAATAACGCGGAGTTCTACGTTTATTTTTTTATATTTCCAGAAAAAAGTCACTTTGACAAGATGAAAAGAATAACCGATGAAATGAGGGGAAGGGCTGAATTTTTTAATTTATTAGTGATTTTTAAGAATTTTTGGGAATGTTAGGTATACATATTTTTTTTAGTTCCTAAAAAAAACGCGCACGTATATCTAATTTAAATTCCTCACAGTGAGTACGATTAATAATTCCTCTCAACTGAAGACTGTTTTTAACTTAACAAGGCAAAAGCGGCAGCTTCTCCGGAGGGGAGCCCCCTCCACCGTAAGAAGGACGGCGGAGCTCAATATGTACAAGAAATTTGAAATGAAGAAATGGCTAGGAGCCGGATAGCTCAGTTGGGAGAGCACCCGATGCATAATCGGAAGGTCCCGGGTTCATATCCCGGGCTGGACTATCCATTTTTTTTAGTAAATATTTCTTGTTAATTCATATTGGGAATAATCCCGGATCCCCTCCTACCTCATCCAAATCCTATCGAGCTAATTTCCTATGACGTCACAAAGATGTGGAACGCTATATAAATTCCCTTCTTTAATTCCCTTTTTTATGGCCCCATAAAGAAGGTCATAAAATCCAACACCTGATACAAAAGGGCCTATTCAAGGTTTGGGGTGGTTAGCGGGGACATATTAACATTAATAAATTCTGAAAGCAGAGAATGACTGGAAATCGTTTGGTAAACAATGGGACACCAATTCCATAGGCCATCGATTAAATTCGAATATATGTAATTAATCAATTTTTTATATTTTTTCTTTTTGGGATTCTCCACCAACTACGTCCTCGTCGTGAGTTACGCCAAGAGTTGGTGAGGATCGAACTCTTCACTAGGAAACTGCTGGTTCCTTCAAGACTTGGTTACCTCATTTGAAAGAAAAGAATTTTAATTCTCCAATAAATGAAGGTATTCCCATATGAAATTAATTTATTGTCGTAAGAAGGTACGACGGAGTTAAAGAAAATATACCTTATAGCCATTAAATTTAATCTAATAATAAACCAGATGGATATAATAAAAAAGGACCACAGCAACACTCCACTCAAGAATCCGCAACTTACTCGATCTTACTTCAAAGGAATACATAGTTCCTTTGAAGATATTCGAATCCTAATGCTATCCCAATCATTACCAAACCATTATAAAGATGAATTTGAATACTAGACGTGAAATTAATTGACCCGGCTAGCGATGCTATACCCCTATTCAACCTATTGTAACTGAGTTAATTGGATCCGGGAGCTACGATCACTCAATGAACGCCCTGTACCCTTCCCTGCTCTACACTTACCTGACCATATTTGATCTTCCCAGAAATGCGAGTAACTTTGGTCGACAAAAATTATTTTCCTGCAGAAAATTAGCACATAATTTGTACTTTACTAACCGACGGGGTTGACTGTGTGGTTTTAGAGGGCCAGGTAGAACACGGACGACTGGGGTTCGATTTCCGGTGGGGGGGGGGGGG